GAACAATGAGATTTAGAACATTATTCAAGTGTATTGCTTTTAACACATTATATACTCTTCTTATTACTTTACATAAGCTCTAATGGAATGCACAGATGTAAGAAACGAAACTAGTCCCTATACAAGCTTACAAATTAATTATCTGTGCTAAGTAACACAAAGAAAAAAATACACCTGATAATTAGATCATGTAATTATCTAGAGCAGCATTCTAACAGTTTCACCTCTACACGAGACTGAGCTAGATGTAACGGTACAAATATTGCATGTTTTTGTTACCTGAGGTTAAACACACAAGAATAATCCCCTTATATCATATGGACAGTTAGCAGGACAAATATTAAATGGAAACATACTGAAATATTAATATGTATTGTATTTTTGTAATATTATGCCAGTATGATTAGAAGCCCTAAAGATTCATTAATCATACGGACGTGGACGATGACCGCAGTACAACATACAAATTAGAAACACGTGTACGCTTCAAAGTTCAAACGTAGGGATCTCTTTTGGAAAAGCGATGTTTGATTTAATATTGAAATAGTGATGCCCTTTTAAAGCAATTTGTAATGTAATTTTGTGCAGGTTTTTTTTTCTTTATTATTTGGCCTATTGCTTTTCACAAGTGCCTGTTAACCCTCGGCACACCATGACGACAAGCAATCCCTAGTAATCTAGCACCCAAAACAGTTAAAGTTGTGCTTATATTATTCCAATTCCTGTAGTTTACATGTCAGTATTTGAAGTGGATTTTTTTCAGCCCCCAAATCTCTTTTCACAAGACAGTCCCTATCTTCAAAATCATAGGAAAAGAAGATACATTTCCCACACAACCATTTACTTTTCACTAAAACATCTTACTGCCTTTCTTTCCCAAAGTATGTAACCTAAGTGGTAATCTTCTGGGAACATAAATATGATTTATTATTGTTGGATAATGGAATCGGTGTGGACCTGCAAAAAGGATATATTGTTTTTTTTTTCTTGAAATAGTTCTTTTTTTCCCAAATGGGGCTGCATCAGAATAGCATGGGGAGTGTAGTGAGTGATTATTTCCTGAGGGTGAATGATTGAAAGAAAAAAAAAAGGAAAAAAAAAATAAAATAAAAATAAATCCTACAAAATATCTTCTTGTTGGCTACGGCTGCCTCTGAGAGTGTCCCTGGATCTTCCAGTGTTTGACAACCTGCAGACACATTTGATGAACTGTATTCTTCTGTCAGAGACAGCCTGTCTGGGAGGAGAAAAGAGATCCTTTATCGTCTGATCAGCTATTATTGTCTTGATCTTTCATAAGCAATCTCTAATGCACGTGAATGTAATATCCTTTTATACGAGTGCCAAGCACAATAGAAATCATTTAAAACCCCCTTCCCACCAGTTATGGAAATGTCCTAATAATATAATTAGAAAAGATGGTTTGTGAATGATACGACTAAGAAAGGGTAATCAAAATGCTTTTGCATTATCTGTCTGCTTTAAAGACCAAACGCACACAATAAATAGATCTTCCTACAGCTATCAGGAACTGGCTTATATTGAATGCTTTGTCTAAAAGAAAACATTTGGTGTATGATCTGAATTGAGCTGGATAATGGTGTTTTATTTTTATAAAACATGTAAAAGGCTGCTGGGTTCCAGCCAAGAACGATTAATGCACTGATATAGCATAGAACAAAATAAGTAGCCAGTTCAAAAATTCCTTTTTAGACGCTAATGGTATTACCAAGAAGATCGTAATTTAATTTACTGCGTGGAAAAAAAACTCAACCCACGACACCAAGCTCTGTGCAAGTTAAAAAATAAAAAGGTTTTCTAATAAAGTGCATGCCATATTTGTTTCTGAGGATTTTAGCTATTTATACTTTAAAATATCCAGTTTCTTTGGGAGCTATTGCAATGTTTTCATTTTTCTTTTGTTTTTCAGTTGGCAACACTATAATAGGAAAGGGCTGGCCTTGTCAGTTCTGCCCTTGTCAGTTCTTTACAACTCTCATTTTAGTGAATAATTCCCGAAGCAGTGCAATGGATTTGACAATGCAAGCTTACTTTCCCACACTTATAGTAAAGATAAGATCGTTGCCTGATGTGAAAGTAGTGGTGTGCTGTTCTCATCATTTTTTTTTATTATTTGTAATAACCAAATAGAAAAATTTAGGCTAAACTGTTCAAGCTGTTGCTGGTGCAGCTCAGCAATTATATTCCAAATTAGCTGTTTTAAAAATGCCTTAACTATTTCGATGACGAACCACTCAAGATGGATTTAAAGGTAGCAACTGCCTGATCTTTTGATTGTGAAGCAATGCCATACATAACCTGTCAAAAGACTCAAGGCACCAAAGCGGTATAATTGTGTTGGTAAAAATAATTTCATGTTGGAAGGTAAGCATGTTGCAATATTTTTAGGTTGTTCCCACTTTCTGTACTGTTTTAGAAGAGGACAGTCAGACCTGTTCAATTTGGCCTATCTGCCTTCCCCTGTAAATATTCTATGTGATCAATCCAAAAAAATCTGTCTGTGCCTGCTGAAAATGGGTATAAAAAGCTGCTGCTTGTCAAGAAAGATCATGCCAACAGCCCACCAGCTAAGATACTCCTTAGGGACAAGCACTGCTGTGAGATTTTTTGGGTCTGGGAATACACAAACCTCATGAAACTAAATGGTAGGGCAGTGCTGGGAAGGGAGGGCTGACAGGCCCCAGGTATAATTTGGGGATATTTAGATTTATTACTGTAGCCCAGATCACTTGTTCTGTAATGGAGGACTTGAAGATCTCTCATTGACTGCTGTCAATGCTGGGCTGTCTGCTTATATTAGATACATGTTCCCCACCGCAATGAGGCTTCGCTGTCAGAAAAAGATTAAGATCCCACAAATACTAGGACCCCTGTTAAATCCATGATAGTAGATATCAGAATCTCCACTAGTAGTTCAAAGCTCTACCGCTCTCATTGTGCACTCAATTCAAACTTTATGCTCTACTGTGGACTGACAATTAATGCTATACCAGTGGTGGCTCTTGAAGTCTTAAAATGGCGGGGCATCAGACTCTTCTCCAGTATTCATACAATACTCAAAGCTAGGTACAATACAGAGATACATATTCAATACACAGAAAATAGAACTGAGTACAAAACAGAGCTACACAATGCACAGGCTGGGATAATACAATAAATGCTTGTACAATGAAGAGATGCCAAAACAATCCACCAAACTGAGCATAATACAGAGATACTCGTACAATACAAAGAGCTGGGCACCATACAAAGACACCTATAAAATACACAGATCTGGAAACAATAGAGAGATAGCCATGCCACACGCAGGGCTGAATACAATACAGAGATGCAATACACTGAGTTGGGCACAATAATGACATCCCCATAAATATCCCACACAGCCAAGGTTAGTGTGACAAATATGCAGAGCGTTTATACCCACCCAGTACAATGTGTCTGTTCAATGCTTTAGCTCTCTCTGCTAACCCGGGCTCCTTGGCACTCTCTGAGCGTCTAGCTCTCCATTTTCTGACCTCATCTTGAGTAGAGCTTCTGCTATGACAACCTTAGCTTTCTAGTAAATGTTCCTATTGTTATAAAACATGTCAGCCACTCCTAACTCACTATTACCACAGCAGAATGCTCATATTGACAACAACATGGACAATAAGGAATCTATTAGTATCTGACCGTTTTAACCATATGAACAATGTGTGCTGTGAGCTTGCTGTAACCTGCCAGCTCCCTGGCTTTATTTATATATTACATTTATATTTTACTAAATGTCCTTTCATAATCAGACCTAAGGCTACTAGGGGAGAGAGACAAATAATATTATACATTTAACTTCTGCTGTGCTCTTTCTAGTCTGCTTGCTGGATGGCTTCCTGCTTCTCTTTACAGTGAGAACTGTAACCCCAACCCCTGGTGCTATGAACCAATGATGACCCCTAAATAGAGAAGCTAATAGCATGCCTCCACTCATTGGAAGCTGATATTACTGACCAAATAGCAATTCAATGGAACACATTTGAAATCAATTCTTAAAGTAGACTTGGCATTTGCATGACCTGCTAAAATAAAAGGACAGATTTCAGATATGTCCAGTTTTTTGACATGCCCAGTTGCTCTCAATAAAGCTTCTCCAGACAGCCACCATTCTGGATGTAGAGGCCCATCAGTGCTGAAACCTATTACAGAATTAAAATCACTTTTTTATTATTATTTTAAATTTGATACACACAAAGGAATTTCTTAATTTTATAGACAAAGGACTGTTATATTCAACCCACCTAATTAAAGTAATTAAATGTACAATGCTAATAAATACTGCATTTTGTGAAGTTCCTGGTGTGAATATCAATATTTCCATCCTGGCTGTTTTTGACTGGTAATTTGCATTTTCTGAGTCACTTTTCCACAATATAAGTTAACACTGTAGAGGAGCTCTAGTCCTTGACAAGGACTTTTCTCCACTGTATCCTTAGTAACTGGAACTCTGGAGCAAGGTGCTGAAAAGTGAATAGTTCTACCCCTCAACAGCTACTGGACGACACACAGTTCTGGGAGTACAACTGACTTTTATTGTGCCTAACTCTGCTTTTTATGTCCAGACCCCCAGCATGGGGTCTTCAAATAAAATAACACAAACCTCTCCCAGGCATCCCTGTGTCTGGGAGATAATTGAGTCAAAGACGGGTAACCCAATTACAGTTGCAAGAAAAAGTATGTGAACCCTTTGGAATGATATGGATTTCTGCACAAATTGGTCATAACATGTGATCTGATCATCATCTAAGTCACAACAATAGACAATCACAGTCTGTTTAAACTAATAACACACAAAAAAAACAAATAACTAGTGTATAGGCGCTTCGTGAGTATGAAGATAAGAGTGGTGGTAGATATAAGAGTGTTTCCCCAAACACAATAAAAACGTGAATAACAAAGACAAACTTTATATCAAACCACACAAAGTGAAATAGTAGTAAATATGCAAAAATACAACCTGAGCTTGTCAGTATAATCAGGTAATATCTAAAAGCATAAAATAAATATAAAATAAAATATTTTATGCTTTTAGATATTACCTGATTATACTGACAAGCTCAGGTTGTATTTTTGCATATTTACTACTATTTCACTTTGTGTGGTTTGATATAAATTGTGTCTTTGTTAATAACACACAAAGAATGAAATGTTGCCATGTTTTTATTGAACACACCATGTACACATTCACAGTGCAGGTGGAAAAAGTATGTGAACCCATGGATTTAATAACTGGTTGAACCTCCTTTGGCAGCAATAACTTCAACCAAACGTTTCCTGTAGTTGCAGATCAGACATGCACAACGGTCAGGAGTAATTCTTGACCATTCCTCTTTACAGAACTGTTTCAGTTCAGCAATATTCTTGGGTTGTCTGGTGTGAATCGCTTTCTTGAGGTCATGCCACAGCATCTCAATCGAGTTGAGGTCAGGACTCTGACTGGGCCACTTCAGAAGGCGTATTTTCTTCTGTTGTTGATTTACTTCTATGCTTTGGGTTATTGTCCTGTTGCAACACCCATCTTCTGTTGAGTGTCAGCTGGTAGACAGATGGCCTTAAGTTCTCTTGCAAAATGTCTCGATAAACTTGGGAATTCATTTTTCCTTCGATGACAGAAATCCGTCCAGGCCCTGACTCAGCAAAGCAGCACCAAACCACGATGCCCCCACCACCATACTTAACAGTTGGGATGAGGTTTTGATGTTGGTGTGCTGTGCCTTTTTTTCCGCCACACATAGTGTTGTGTGTTTCTTCCAAACAACTCAACTTTGGTTTCATCTGTCCACAGAATATTTTGCCAGTACTGTTTAACATCCAGGTGCTCTTGTGCAAACTGTAAATGTGCAGCAATGTTTTGTTTGGACAGCAGTGGCTTCCTCTGTGGTATCCTCCCATGAAATCTATTCTTGTTTAGTGTTTTACGTATTGTAGATTCGCTAACAGGGATGTTAGCATTTGCCAGTGACTTTTGTAAGTCTTTAGCTGACACTCTAGGATTCTTCTTCACCTCATTGAGCAGTCTGCGCTGTGCTCTTGCCGTCATCTTTACAGGACGGCTGCTCCTAGGGAGAGTAGCAGCAGTGCTGAACTTTCTCCATTTATAGACAATTTGTCTTACCGTGGACTGATGAACAGCAAGTCTTTTGGAGATACTTTTATAACCCTTTCCAGCTTTATGCAAGTCAACAATTCTTAATCGTAGGTCTTCTGAGAGCTCTTTTGTGCGAGGCATCATTCACATCAGGCAATGCTTCTTGTGAAAAGCAAACCCAGAACTGGTGTGTGTTTTTATAGGGCAGGGCAGCTGTAACCAACACCTCCAATCTCATCTCATTGATTGGACTCCAGTTGGCTGACATCTCACTCCAATTAGCTCTTGGAGATGTCATTAGTCTAGGGGTTCACATACTTTTTCCACCTGCACTGTGAATGTTTATGTGTGTTCAATAAAAAGGTGTGTGTTCAATAAAAACATGGTAACATTTCATTCTTTGTGTGTTATTAGTTTAAGCAGACTGTGATTGTCTATTGTTGTGACTTAGATGATGATCAGATCACATTTTATGACCAATTTGTGCAGAAATCCATATCGTTCCAAGGGGTACACATACTTTTTCTTGCAACTGTATCTCTCAGTGAACCATGCATAAAATATACTAAACACACCAAAACTACATTCAAACTACACAGGAACCCAACATGTCTTATATCCCTTAAAAGCCCAGATCTCAGTTCCTTTGAAGTAAACAAGCCAGGTGCAGGTCAGTGTTCGGGGGGTATAAAAAGGTGAAATTAGTCTTCAGTTGGGAAACGCAGAGGGGGGTACGGACAACCGAATGGAGAGGGGAACAAGTCTGCTACAAACACAAGTTAGTGAAAAGGCCTTATTAGTCTTAAATCATGATAACAGTGAATCTTGCTGACACTCCATTGCTTTAAATAAATACATTTTAAAAAATCACTGTATAATAGATAAACCCCTCAATGAAAATATGCATGCAAATATTTTTTTTCATTGGGTTATATCTCTTGTTGGAACCCTTTGCAAGCCATCGCCTTCTAACCCTGCCCAGACTTTCTGTGGCTGTCCAATCACAGACTTCCAAATGCAGCTCAATGAGAAGTCTTTGCAATGCAGGTGTTCTGGGCAATTTCTGCTTCTTGAGTTTAGTTCTACTGAGCTAAGCAGACCAGGAAGTGATAGGTTTATTGACAGCCAGAGGCATATCACAAGGTTAATTGGAGTGCAGTGCTATACTTGTGTGTAGTGTTTGTATTTAAATCCAGCAGGGTGTTTGCACGTAGTGTTGGCTTTTAAATGCAGGTGTACATTTGTGTGTAGTGTTGGTATGTGAATGAAGGGTTTTTTGTTTATAATTTGGGCGTTTTAGTACAGGACTGTGTTTGCATGTTGTGTTGGTGTTTGATGACTGGGTTGTATTCATATACACACATACAATGCTACCAGGGTCGGACTGGGGAAAAAATTCAGCCCGGGCATTTTTAATTACAGCGGCCCTCTGAAAAGGGGGCGGGGCCAGATAGGGTGTGTTTTGTCATCCCCAATGACAAGCACGCCCCATCTCAAAGTGAGCATGTTGGTTCAATGCTCTACCAGGGCATGAGAAAAGGGCCCTGTATTTGATCTGCACAGCGCAAGCAAATTTAATAACATGCTTGCATTGTGTTTGCTTGAAACTTGTCTCAGGGGTTTCCATAAATGGAATACTCACTGTATTTTAATACTCACTTTGCTTAAAGGGTATCTAGAGTGTTTATAGGGGATTCTGAGTGTGTATGTCAGAAATGTAGTGTGTGTGTAAGTGGTGCAGCGTCTGTGTGTAGGGGATCTAGTGTGTGTTTGAAGGACTCAGGAGTGCGTATAGGAGATCTAGTGAGTGTGTGAGTGGTGCAGTGTGTTTGGGGGTGCTGTGTGTGTGAGGGGTGTAGTGTGCATTTGTGAGGAGTATAGTGTGTATGTGGGAGGGTGGTGTGTGTGGGGGGGTGCAGTATGTGGGTGTGAGGGTGCTGTGTGTGAGGGCGCTGTGTGTTAGGGCACTGAGCGAGGGTTCTGTGTATTTGAGGGTGATGTGTGTGTTGGGGTGCTGTGTGTGTGTTGAGTTGCTGTGTGTGTTGGGTTGCTGTGTATGTGTTGGGGTGCTGTGTGTGTGTTGGGGTGATGTGTGTGTGTTGGGGTGATGTGTGTGTGTGTGTGTGCTAGGTTGCTGTATGTGTTAGGGTGCTGTGTGAGTGCTAGGGTGCTGGTGTTAGGGTGCTGTGTGAGTGCTACCGTGCTGTGTGTGTTAGGGCGATGTGTCAATGTTAGGGTGCTGGTGTTAGGGTACTGGTGTTAGGGTGCTGTGTGTGTGTGTTGGGGTGCTGTGTGTGTGTTAGGGTGCTGTGTGTGTGTGTTAGGGTGCTGTGTCAATGTTAGGGTGGTGTGTCAATGTTAGGGTGCTGGTGTTAGGGTGCTGGTGTTAGGGTGCTGTGTGAGTGTTAGGGTGCTGGTGTTAGGGTGCTGTGTGAGTGTTAGGGTGCTGTGTGTGTGGTAGGGTGCTGTGTGAGTGCTATGGTGCTGTGTGTGTGTTAGGGTGCTGTGTCAATGTTAGGGTGCTGGTGTTAGGGTGCTGTGTGTGTGTAAGGGTGCTGGTGTTAGGGTGCTGTGTCAATGTTAGGGTGCTGTGTGTGTGTTGGGGTGCCGTGTCAATGTTAGGCTGCTGGTGTTAGGGTGCTGTGTCAATGTTAGGGTGCTGGGTGAGGGTGATGTGTGTGTTTGCAAGGATTTTGTATTGGGGGAGGCAGGTAAATGGCACTATTAATGTTTTACTAAAAAATAATAATAATAATACATAATAAATAGTAATAAATACAAAATAATAATAATAATAATAAATACATAATAATAAATACATAATAATAAATAATAATAAATACATAATAATAATAAATACATAATAATAATAATAATAATTACATAATAATAATAAATAATAATAAATACATAATAAAAATAAATACATAATAAATACATAATAATAATAATTACATAATAATAATAATAATAACTACATAATAAATAATAAATGCATTATATTTCACCCCCACTCCCCCCCCATTCTTACCTGTAGCCTGGAAGGAGGGTGTGGGGGGGGTCGTGCTCCTGCCAGCCATCCCTGGTGGTCCTCTTGGTAAGTGAACTCTAGCCCTTTTGGGGCTAGAGTTCACTCTCGCGAGACCCGGCCGGTTGCCATAGCAACGGTCCGGATCTCACGAGAGAAACCCGGTGGAGCTGCAAGTTAGAGCTCCGCCGGGTCCTCTGTCCTGCCGGCTGTCACCCTCCCTCTCTCCCCGCCGGCGGGCGCGTTGGAGCGCATGTGGGCCGGTGAGGGAGATCTTTGATCTCTCCACCGGCCCTCCATGGAATACAGCGGGGCCGGCACTCGGATAGCGCCGGCCCTGCATAGACCGGCAGGGGAGATCCTGGGACCTCCCCTGCCGGCCTCGGCCCCACGGCCACCGCGGCCCACCGGGCATTTGCCCGGTGTGCCCGATGGCCAGTCCGGGCCTGAATGCTACATACATATGCACACAGATAAACATACTCATTTATACATACACAAATAAACACATATAAACACACTGACACCCACATAGATACAGTGGTGGACCTGTCATCAGTCCCTAGGGTTGCCCGAACCCATATGGAGTTCTTGCAAAAATTCTGGATCCCTATGTTCGGGAAACGAACAGAACTTGTGTGGTCCCCCCTGTTATTGACTTAGAACACCGACCTACCCTGACTGTTAACCGCAATTAAGGAGTACTTGAGTGCTTTACCTGGGTGACCGCCATTCGTATAACCGAACGCATGTGGTTCAGTTCAGTTCAGGGCCATTTTGTCTTATGAACGCAGGCAGCAGTACTTGGTCATTGAGTGCGTAGAACTAATTTCAGCTACACGTTTTCGCAAACCCCGGTCAAGATGGTACTGCTGCCTGTATACTTTCCCGAAAAACTACACAAACCACATGGAAGATGTGATCTACTGACTGGGGGGAGCGTTCATCAGTGTTTGT